GGGGGGGGGGGGGTTTGGGGGGAGGACACCCCAACAGCCATCTTCAACTTTTCGAAAATGCACATGAATCCCTTGACGCCAACATTCGGAAAGAAAGTTTCGCCGCTAATTAGTAGCATTAATATTGAACGAGGCATACCATGCATGAATTTTCATCGGATCTCTACTTCACAAAGCGCGGACGAGTCTGATGATAGGCTATTGCTACGCTCGTGTATTGTCGCCTCTCGAGTAGTCGCGGTTGTAGCGGTCGTAAAATCTATGTTTCAGTGCCTCTTTGTAAGGACTGACTACTGACTTCCAAGCTGGACGTGTACCTCACCTGAAATGCTTTCATTGGCCGGGAAGTTCCACCGCCATGTGAGGTCACTAAGTGGGCCCTGTCAGGGTCCCTAAAATGTGAGGCCACGCTTTTGGATCAGGCAAACAAACGGTTGATTGCATGGTTGACAAGCAAGGGGTTCCCCACAGAACGGTTGGTGGATCTGCGCAGGATCTCTGCAGAGCCAGGCGATATGACGCATATTATAGCCGAGTTATGACAATCATATGACATCCGCATCAAGTGGATCGACCTAAATTCCAACGCAATTACTAATTATTGTAATACGGGTAAACCAAACGTCGACCGTCAAGACTTGGAAGAGGTTGCGTCCATGCACCAGCCACATATTTGCCATGTAAATTTTTACCACCCTCTTCTTTTCATGGTTTTAGGGCAGATGCGTGCCCCGCGCGCCTTCTAGTACAATCTATTTCGATCTCACGAGCATCGCTAAATCAAAAATAGACTAGTGTGTCTCAGAATTGAGTTTGGCACAAAAAGGTTTTTTAAAGTGGTGAGAGCTTTTGAGCGCGCCTGTACTGTGGTGATACAACAAGCCCCCAGTGAGCTCGCACTAGGCAGCAGTCATGCTGAGACTGGACAGACCTCATCCAAGGCCTAGAAGCCTCGTTAAGGCTTAAGGGCATCCTGCACCGGAGAACTCGTTAAGGCTCGGCAACGGGCAACCCCGGGCGCAGCCGTTCTTCGGGATACGGGCATCCTCCTGGGAGATATACGGGTTATCTGAAAGGGGTTGGTAATTGGCTGGTGGCAACCAATGGACCTCGTTAAGGCTTTGCCACGGGCAACCCGTGGATCCTGTTCAAACATTGGGGACCAAGCTTGATTAGTGGAGAGTGACCTACATACACTGCCGGATGGAGCGTATACGAGGGCTTTCTGCAAGACACAGTCGGCCTGGCGAAGGGAGACCTCTCCAGGTAACGCGAAACAAGAGTGTGAGCTCTTGCGCTCTTGCGGGGCGTGGTATACAATGGCAGCCACTGCGATAGGCTCGGGGCCTGTCAAGAGATTGTCTGTATGGCCCAAGAGGACGGATGCGCGTGTGGGTGTACAGAGAGCCGGGAAGTCAACTACCTCACTCGCACCTAAGACTGGTCTTGATCGGTCGAACCGGTGTCATCCTAGTTGATCTACCCGTGATGTATGCTTATGTCAAACTGAGAGACACCTAGGGTGAGAGGCGTGGTGGACCTCAAGAGACTAGAAGCCTCTTATACTTGGCCAAAAAACTGGGGTAGTGGCTTATGCGAGTAGGCCCTGTCGAAGCTACTTCATGTCTTTTGGCCACGACTGCTGCCGCCATGGCGAGCCGAGTCCTTCACGAACATTGAGATCGGGTCAGACCGAGAAACGACAAGAGAACGGGCCGAGGCCGTACGGTCCACGTCCGACATTGTCGGCTACTCAGACGCCTCTGGACGCGAGGGCCACTTAGGTGCCGCCGTTATCGCGCTTGATAACAACCTAGAGGTCATAGAGTCGCAACAGGTCCAGGTAGGACCGATGGACCGGTGGTCGGTCCACGTAGCGGCGCCGATTGGCATTTTCTATGCTATCAGCACAGTGTTCAAACTTCTCACCAGCGCCTAAGAACTGTAGACAGTGGAAACACGACAGCGACGATCCTATGTGACAGCAGATCAGCCCTGTAGGCAGTCCAAAACGCGGGAAACAAATCCGGACAAAGGGTCATCCATGCCATTATCCAGGCGGCCACAGAGGTTCAAGCGGCGGGATTCGCGCTTCGCCTTCAGTGGGTGCCAGGGCATTGCGACAACCTAGGAAACGACGCAGCGGATCGACTGGCCAAGGACGCCGCAGGCCCGGGCAAAACACACCCCTTCCGCTCCCTTCTCACGAGGGAGACGGCGTTTATTCGCGGCAAAACCCTCCGTCAGTGGGAGCAAGAATGGAAGTCATATTTATAAACCTAAAGAAGAAGCCAGGCTCTAGGTAGAGAGGCCATGTAAATATGACTTATTCTGCATGCGTTGTACCGGACATTATCGTGATGATCTATCTACTGCAGTGTACATTCTGTAGCCTGAAAATCAGATACTCTCGAAAATCGCTGTAAACTCGACGCCCCCATATGGGCATGCATACGATGTTGGTAAAATTTGATTGGGGGGCCCAGCTTTCGGTGTGCGTAACTGGATTGAAATCTCAAGTCCATGAAGGAAGCCAGCAGAGCAGATACCTTTAGTTGGTAAAATGGGTCAAATCTGAGTCTGCGCAAAGTGAGCATTTCCCTTTTTTTTTTTTTTTAAAAGCAAACTTTCTGCGTCAACAATCGGGAATATTCTGAAAACACTAAGTCCACACAATCAATTCAAAGATAGCTGTTTGCGTAGTTGACCAAATAGACTTTTTGGGATTTGCACTTTTCTCTCAAGAAAATTAGAGTTTATCACCAATCCTCGCTATGAGAAAAAATGGTCTCGGAGATGTGCATTCCTAAGTCTAACAGCATACATTCTTCATGAGTTCACAAGTTCATCCATATATTATGTAAGGCATTTTCAAAAGTACGATGCGTTCCTCGAAGGGTTTATAGTTATCGCGTCGAGAAACATCACAATATCTTTTGCTATCAAACCCAGGATCTTCATCCCACCAGCTAGTGCATACACCACAACATTGAAGCCTCGAAACTCCCCATCATTTGACCTAGGAACAGGGATTGTTTTCCGAGGACTATCCATGCACAAGCAAAAAGAGAAAGATGAGCCAGCATATAACGGAAATGTAAGTATCCTCGAAAACTGATCTTTTCTCTTCGATATATTTTTCTTTCCCCCCCTATTTGCTAAGTTAGGAATCATTATATCCTGAAACAGTATAAGATGACTGGTAACGAGAATCCTACGATCCTGGAGTTGCGGAAAATGGATTTTTCGGTGGTGGCACCTCCCAAAGAAAAGTACGAGCACTTTGGCTCCAAAGAGCGAAAGCGTCCACACAGTTCTCTCTCAAGTCAAGAAAAGGTTAGGAACAATCTCAATGTCACAAAAATTGATTTATTCTCTAAAACATAGTAGATACTGGAACTCGGAACCAAAAAGTTGGCGAGCAAATGCGAATCGGACCGCACCTGGTTGAGCAAAGAATCCATGTACGCAAAATGTGAACTTTTGGGAATTAACAACGAAGCAATTGCTTCGTTATTCGAACCCCTAGAAGAGGACCACCGCATCTCACTAGGTACCTTGGATCCCATTTGTTATCATAAGCAGGACGTGCTCGCCAGAAGTTATGAGCCCATAAGGGACCGATTTTATGCCGGCAGGAATGATGTTCAAGATACCGTTTCCCCATAGGTGCTGCGTCAATAGATCAAGTCAACTTTTTGAAAACTAGACTATGGATTCATGGTAGAAGACTTCGTGTGCATACCCCGACCCATCGATAAGGGTTGGATCCCAGGTTACGTGATATATATAGGTCTGTAGGAGTGGCTTCCTGTTAGGCTTCCACTCCGCTAGGCAGAAGGGAGATGAGTTGCTGCGGCTATAAGTAGCTGAATCTTTTCCCATAGACTGAATATGATTATCACACTTGTACCTCAATCCAGGGTTCCAACTATGAGAGAGATATGCTGGCTACCATCAATATATATATCATTACCTATATAATTAAAGTACACCGATTTCTGGAACCGAACATGAATCCTTGTCAAGATCGGAACTCCTGCGACCTAACGACCGGCAACAATCAATAGGCTGCTCTCCCGGAGATACTGACGACAATACCGTTATTGCGACTGTGCAATTGTGCACCGCTTTGAACGCTGGTCGCGTCGCCGCTGGTAGTCTAGCAGTGTACAAGTTACCCCGCTCCGCCATGGTGCTAGCTAAAGGGGTTGGTTCAGAGGATTGATAGCCACTAATGCTGTTGTGGTTCTTGCCATTGCTTTGGTCACAGCTGTTAGGCAAGACGTTCCCTTTTTTTTTTTTTTATTATTATTATTATTATTATTATTATTTAAAGTTGCGGGTGTGTTTTTAAGAACTATGTGTTTTAGTTCTGAGGAATAGTGATTACTCTATTTCTAAGGGAGTACAAGAGACTGTATATAGAACATAAGGCTATGTTGATCCCCTGTCAACTTGCTTCGTTTTTGTGTAGATTGTGAAGGAATTATTCGGTGGCGCGGCTTTGTTATTGATCTGCACTAGCCTTATATCACAACCGATATGGATGCGAGAAACAATGTACAATTGATCGCGACGAACTAAACACAGATGCTTCATCACGATCCTTAACGTTTGAACAGAGCCGAGTCTATGCTTGTGTTTGGCCACGCAAAACTATAGGTTGATTGCTAGACACTTACAGCGATGAATATAGTTCCAAGAAGACAGGCGAGTACCCAAGCGACAGCTGCATGGAGACTCTAGAAAAATAACCAAATGACTAAGCCTCCAAGTATTGCAATCGAGTAATTGTTCCACAGTATTAAAAAGAAAACCTGGCATCGCTCGACCCCGGGAAAAAGCTTCAAATACTGTATTATCAACATGGTCTGCTGTCGCACATAATACCACATGCTGGAGTGCCTATCGACTAGTTAGCATACCATAGCATCGTGCAATGGGGGTATTGCATATACCAGAAAGGCCGGTTTCTCAATCCTGTAAGATTTTGCTCAAGAATGTATCGAAGGATATTAGTAGAAATTGAGTTGCCTTCCACGGGGGTTGCAGGTACATGTAACGGAAGGGCAATCACTTTGCATATTGGTGGGGTAAGGCGTCAACTATTCTATACGACAGCAATACCGAATAGATAACTAGGCGAATGGTGCGTGGAATCTCGAAAAATCGGCTTTCGGTCCGCCGACATTCCCAAAAGTTGGTTGTACCGCCGTTTCCCATCTGCATTCTTCAGTTGTTTGTTGTGACGGGATATCTGTAGATCCAGATCAAGGCAAGACTTTGGATGCGGTTTTCGATTTATCTCCTATTGATACGAGGCAGGGCTTGTTCACTTTGGAGCGCTAAAGTTTGCCAACATACATACCTCTAGCACAACGATAAGTCCTGGGTCGCAATAGACAAGCAAACAGACAATCTACCGAAGCCGTTAACCCATTTGGTAGAAAATATTTTCTTCGCGGCTTGATTGGGTACGCGGGCAGTAGGAGTTATCAACTGTGGGGATTCATCCCAAGTTGACAGTCTGGGTCGGCTCCCTAGCCGAACGATGTGGGTACGACCCATGGTCACATGGTTAGCATGTCGCTGCATGTGGCCGGCTTTGTCACCCGCCAACTATGGTCGAACCCACTATTTACGCCCACAAGATATCCGTGGGGACGCTTATATTATCCGCCCACTCAATCACTCACATCCCTTGCTCCAGGTAAGCCCCCGCCGGGGGTTCGCTGTCGGTCTGCCGTTAGTTCCCGCAGGACAACCACCCGCCAATTATGTGGAACCCACTCGAATGCTTGCGTCATGGTCATTGCTCTAGGGCTTGGAGTTTAGAAAACAGAGTATAATCCACAGAAATCAATCGGTCTTCGAAATTAATCATCGAGCTTATTCATTCATTCCCGTGGCGCCGCCGAGAAAATCTATTTACTCCTCCCGGTCCTCCGGATCTTGATATTTAACAAATTTCCACCTCTTTGCATGGTAAAACCACTCCTCGAGCCAGTCGAAGTATAGTTGTCTAATTTGACCAGCAGCTGTCATTTCTGGGCCCATATCACGCTGAGATAATACTGTCACCATCAAAACGTCGGCTGGCTTACCTTTCTCATCATCTTTTGTTGAAAAGCGTGCATCAAGAATGCCCTTTCGGGTGGATGAAATACGACGCCAAATAGAAAACCCGTCTTACCGTCCTTTTCTTCGATGCCATGGATGCTCAATCATGGGCCTTGTCAAGTTTCAGCATAAAAACCAATTCACCTTTCTCAGCCTTCCACAGGAGCCTGAAATAGCTAGTAAGACTCAGTGGTTGTTTCAAACAATTTGCCGGGAATGCAAAGAAACCGCGCATTTTGCATTGCCAAACACGAATTTCATCTCCATCGACCAGCTTGTTCAGGAAATGTCAGCCGAATGTGTTCTTATCACTTTACACGATGACTCCGTTTCTTTTGTTTGATCCCTTAAGGCTACTATGCCAAAAGACCTTGGATATTCTTCTTCTTCTTGAGTATTTATTGGAGGGAAACCTGCAGCCCTGCCTGGGGTTACTGTCACATTGTCAGTTTGCCAGAGGCGTGATATGGAAAGGCTTCGTATTTTAGCAATTGAACTAGCATTCGTCCCAGTCGTTTGGTCATCAGTATATTTGAGATTTACTAATACCAGTTTTCAGACGTGCGGTGAAAAGCCTCGAGGGAACATAGGTGACACACCCGACACTTGCCTTTCAATACAGCGTGGCGCAAGCGTACGAGAAAGACGCTAGCAAAGCAGCAGGGTTCAGAGAAGGAGGATCTCTCTATAAATACCGAAAAGGTGCTGCTGCAAACTCGAGTATGACTAGCTAGTTCCTATAACGAAGGATAAATCCGAACTAACTTCCGCCTATAGGGCACCCCGACGAGCATTCACATAACATAATCAGGGGCTATAGGAAAGGCGGTACTTTTGCCTACTATGTCTCTGTCAGGGATGACACTCAATCTGCTTTCATGAAAACTCCGGCGCGGGATGCTTTACTCAAACTGGCCAGCAATGCAAGCTTGACACTGGATGCCTCTGCACCGCAGGCTCTTACGGACAGTCAGAAGCACGGCCTCGAGAAGAACCCAGAGCTTGCTAAACTCAAGCAAGCAAGCAAGCAAGCAAGCAAGGCTCTTCGGGAAGAGCTCATTGCAGCCTTTCACCAACTGAAAAAGGCAAATGGGTCCACGCGTTACAATGAATTATTGAACAAAATCATCGTGGCAAGCCAGTCAAATTTGAACCGGAAACCTCCTATATACAACCAGAAAGAATGGTTCTTGCTAAACTTGAGTTCAAGAACAGAGATATAGACTCTATCCATGATGCGGAATTAGTCGGGGACCGTATCCGATCATTGGAACTGCGCCTTGAACTGCACAAGCTCAATGTGCCCAAGTCATTAAAACAGCGAATACAGTTCAGTGATTCCATACAGGAATCCAAGGAAACTTTTTCTAGCTCTACTGAGAGTAGTACTGGTCTTGGGTGTCCAGTGTGCTTAGGACGCTCTGATATTTATCCAGCAGTGCGGAGGTACCCGTTCTGTCGAAAGGATGCGCTGCAGCGACATTTCATGACCCACAGTTTGCCAAATGCCTTCCCAGATGGTCGTGTATGTGGTTACCTTGGATGCGACTTTTGTTATTTTCGCTTCCAAGGTATATGCTTCACCAAAAGAAGAAGCACAAGATTTTTCTCTAGAACAGCTGACATTTTATTGACCGACGTTTCCCACGAAAGAATCGAAGTGATATGAAGCACACAGAAGTCCTTGGGAATGAAGTTATTGTACCTGAATCATGATCGATTGGACGGCGTGTTAAATAAAGGGGATTGATACAGACACAACCCTTTGGATACTAACACAACCCCCCTGCCTGGAAATTCAGGCACCCATTGACCGCTTTCCTCACCGCTTTCCTCCTCGAACTTATTTATTGCTACCACTACCCTGCATGTATATCACACCTTAGGTACCTCCAATTACTATGTAAATTGCTAGTAAAAATAAGTCACTCCTGTTCCACTATAGTACCCAATAAGGAATTCAAAATAATTGTTGTTTACACCTTCAAACCTCCCATTTTACTACCCATTTCTCTCGCGTTTTTCACCCATTTCTCTCGCATTTCACTCTCCTTTACGATGGCTTCCTCGCAGCCTGATTCGCCGTCCGATTCTGAGCCTGAAGCTATTCCCGAGTCCCCACCGACGCTGCCAAGCCTTCATGACGCGCCGCCAAGCCTCCAAAACACCGCGCCAAGCCTCCATGACGCGCCGCCAAGCCTTCCTGACGCTATTCCCGAGTCCTCACCGCCGATACCAAGCCTCTATACCTTCCCGCTACCCCCTCTAGATCAGCAGTACGATACACCGGAGCGAGGAATAGCCGCGGTCAATGCCTTCGCCCGCGAGCATGGCTATGCAGTCTCAATATTCCGTTCAATAGCTAAAAAGGGCGTCAAGAAGATCGTCCAGCTATGCTGTGACAGGGGCCGTACTCTACGAGCGCGGCCTGACAATGGCCCTGAGCGAAAGCGGCAGACTACCTCGATAGCTATTAACTGCCCGTTCCTACTTAGGCTTCGGCTTCAAGAGGACGGTCGTTGGAAGCTTACGGTCGACAAGCAGGAGCATAACCATGAGCCTTCGCCTCCATCTACTCATGTCGCTCAACGGAAGCAGGAGCTATCTACAAAGGTGCCGGTGATTAAACAGCAGCTCCAACAGGGCCTTTCTACGCGTCATATCCTCACAAGCATTCGAAAGGAGGATGAGGAGTCATGTCTTACAGCCCGAGACGTCTACAACCTTCGGAGGAAGCTACACATTGAATTCCTTGCTGGCCGTACGCCGCTTCAAGCTCTCTTGATAGAGCTTCCGCGCGATGGCGAATGGATCTTCAAGCATGAGGTAGATAATGAGAATCACGTCACTGCCTTATTTTGTATGCATAAATCGAGTATTGCGATGCTTAGGACTAATTCATGGGTCATTTCAATGGATTGTACATACAAAACTAATAGATACGGCCTTCCCTTACTCGATATCATTGGCTTTGTCGCTACTGGATCAAGCTTTTACGTCGGCTTCGCCTTTATGAAGGATGAGAAGCAGGATAGCTATGAAGTGATACTCAGCTGTCTTGCTGAAGCATTCGAGTCCCTTACCCTCGAGCCACCTCAGACGATCCTAACCGATAAAGAAGAAGCGCTAATGAATGCTGTGAAGGTCGTCTTCCCTTCTACAAAGCATATGATCTGTCTATGGCATATCAACATGAATATTATGAAGAAAGCCCGCCCGATTCTCGCAGAGCAGCTAGCAAAAGCTCGGCAAGAGACTGAAGCTGCTTCCTCGCAGCGTCGGACGAAGGTAGAGAGAGACCGAGAGCTTCGAGAAATGGTCAATGAAGCATGGAAGACGATGCTAAAGCTGTGGATTCGAATCGTCTATGCTATTACGGCTGAAGAGAGGGAGGAGAAATGGAAGCAATTCAATGAGCGCTACAAGGAGCCGATTTTTGAGCCTTTGCTCGATTACCTACGGAGTGAATGGCTAGACGACTGCCCCGAGTATTTCCTTTATGAGTACACCTCCGAATACCTTCATCTCAATGAGATTTCGACTTCTCGGACCGAAGGAGCTCACTGGCTGCTTAAGCAGGACCTTCAAGTCTCAACCAATGATCTACTGGTTGTTCTTCGTACGTTTGAGAATGCTGTGAAGCTTCAGTTTAGGAAGGCTACCGACGCGATCGAAAACGAGAAGATTCGGAGCTCTACTGATAGTCGCTGGAAGCATCTATTCAGGCTAGTTGTTGGACGAGTTTCGGCCAAGGCGATGGGGTATACAAAAGACGTCTACAACCGCTTCCTACCGGAAGCAGATAACAAGCCGCTAATTCCTCTATTATGTCGCTGTAATTCGAAGAATACAGCCGGCTTTCCATGCATTCATCTCATCAGGCAGTACGAAGAAGAGAAGAAGAGCTTTGAACCTGAGTTATTCCATCAACACTGGCATTTGTACAGTGTATCTGCACCTCCAATTAATCCGCTACTTCTACTCCAGGATCCCCTCCAAGTACGCCGGCGAGGACGCCCCCAAGGCGCCAGGAACTTCATCGGCGGCGGCGAGAGCACCCAAGCAAGCACCCAAGACGCCTCCACGCAGCGGGACCCCTCCGGCTTCGAGCTCATACTATCTCAGGAAGGTGGACGCGGCCGAGGACGCGGTAGAGGACGTGGAGGGACACAACAGGCATCGCAAGGGGTGGGAATAGCTTCATCTACGGCCCAGGAAGCTCAACAAGCTTCCCAGGAAGGTGGGCGGGGCCGTGGACGCGCCCGTGGACGCGGTACAGGACGTGGAGGGACACAACAGGCATCGCAGGGTGATACCATGGTGGGAATAGCTTCATCTACGGCCCAGGAAGCTCAACAAGCTTCCCAGGAAGGTGGACAGGGCCGTGGAGAGACACAGCAGGCATCGCCGGCGAGCATGGCTACAGCTCAGGGGTCGGGAATAGCTTCATGGGCATCTCGGGACGAGGATTCCTGGTCTGATCGCCTCAGGAAGAGATAGGGGGCTCCATAAATGGCTGGTACAATACAAATTACTCAATCTCTTCACTATTCTCATGCAATTCTTCAAAAAATTTGACCCAGAGAGCTGTATTCCTTCATTTCTGCAGAGTTTTCGAAAACACCATCAATTTCCTATTTCGGACTAGCGCGGTGCATTTGGCATGTGGGTGGTAGAGTACGAAGGTGACTTAATTTTGCTAGGGGGCTACATAGTAAATGGAAGTACCTCGAGATCGATGGTGCTGGCAGGAAATACTGCCGGCAGAAAAAAGTCGATGCCTGAATTTCCAGGCAGGGGGTTGTGTTAGTATCCAAAGGGTTGTGTCTGTATCAATCCCCTAAATAAACTGCAGCGGCAATACAGTCACTGGTCATAAGTTTTTAACACACCTGAATGACCCACTTTCTCACCGCTTCTACCGCCTACCTAATACACGAGCTGCTAAACACGCTAAAATGGTCGTACTTTATACGCGTCTTCAGTTTTAATAGTTTTCTACCCCTTTTCTCTATTTTATTACTACTATTACTGCTACTATTACTACTATACTACTATAATATGGCGAGGTCCACAGAACTTACCCCTGCCTTGCGTGAACGTATTTGTGAACTACATTCTATTGGATGGGGCTATCGACGCATTCATAAGCGCTATCCTTGGATTCCAATCTCAACAATTCGATATACTATTGTGAAGGAGCCTGAGAGACGTCAAGGCGTCTCGAAAGCTCGATCCGGGCGGCCAAAAACCCTTACTGAGGCCGACAAAAATCGTCTTGTGGAAGTTATTCATGATAATCCAAAGACTACACACGAGGACCTCCTTGCTGAGGTTGATCATAAAGTTAAGATCCGTTCAATCCAACGCCTTTTGAATGCCGAGAATTTACGAAAATGGCGATATAGTTGGCGGCCCTACTTGACTGAGGAACATGCTATAAAACGACTTAGCTGGGCATATCAATATCGACACTTTACGCCTAGCGATTGGGCACGTTTTTTTTGGTCTGATGAATGTACTGTCGAACGAGGTATTGGCATTCGACGAGAATGGTCTTTTATTCGTCCGAAAGACCAACCAAGACTAGGCCAATGCCAAGGTCTACCATATCGTGGAAAGCAAGTTAAACAGATGTTTTGGGCTGCGTTCTCGGGAGATGAACGACGTACGGGATTGATTCCTTTATTTGGCGATTCGAATTCTGAACGAGGAGGTGTAAATCGCTTTGTTATCGAAGCTTTATACCGCCGGATTCTACCTATCTTAATTGATAATGAAGATGGGATTTTTCAACACGATAACGCGCCAACACATACTGCCCACGTTGTACGAGATGCCTTAGTCGAATTAGGGGTTGAGGTTATGGACTGGCCACCCCATTCGCCTGATCTTAACCCTATCGAGAATCTTTGGGCGTTGCTAAAGGCAAAAATATATGAAATTCGGCCTGACCTTATCCATATGAGGAATAACGATACTACAAAGGATATACTAGTTAGTACTGCGCAAGAGGCATGGGATCAGCTTGATACTAGACACCTCCAGCACCTCTCCGAGACGATGCCTCATCGTGT